GTTAGACGTGAAATTTTTTATTGAAATATTTGATAGAATACATAAAAAAATCTAATTATGTAGTTATATTGTATATTATCTCATAATTATCATACTTAAATTATTTGTATTCTCTTTGTAATTATAAACATTGAATGAATTCATTTATGTGATTCTTTCATTCGATCAATCAAGTAGTAAGGTTTATAGATTTTTTTTTCTTTTTGTCTTTTTGGTTTTTACTTTGTGTATTAGTAATTTTTTACCAAATTATTTTGATTGTGAATGAAGAGATAAGATAAGTAAATATATTTTTAGGCATTGAAGATGATATTGTATCCACGAAGTTGTCAAGGTGTATTATTATTGGGTTTTGGGAAAAAAATAATGTTATTTTTATATATCATATTCACTATAATATAACCATTCAAAAGTTTTGCAAAAATAGAGAGATTTACATGATATATTAGAAATTAATTTTTTATTTAAATATAAAGAGATATAATGGTAATTTGTATATTTAAATACAAAAAGACATGTTAGCCTTTATAATTTTTTATAAGGGCAAAATAGTGAATTAAAAGTTTTTCATGTTATGATACTTTTATTAGTAGTATATATATATATATATATATGACTTCCACATTCTTTTGGACTCATTTATTGGTAGTATACTACACACTTACATGCAATTTCTATACTTATATCTATTTATTTAAAAAAAAAAAATCCTATCTATATTCTAATATTATATACATGTTGTTGGAAATTTGAATTTTGTAGCCAAATATATGTCATATTTAATTTTTTATATGCAAAAATATCAAAATATTATGATACAAATAATAGTTTACAATTTTATTAATCTCTTTAACAATAAAATATAATTATATATTCAGATGCACAAATACTCAAGAATGACAATTTTACAATAAATTTTTACTATAAAAAAAAAAAAGAAAATTTAAAGAAGTCGGGAAGATATCTAATAAATGACAATTTAAGTACTCACAGAGGAATATAGTAGATCAATAATTATGTTTAGTAATAATTAATCTAATATTTAATTATTCAACACATAATTTATTATTCAAATAAATTACAAATATAATTTAATTTTTTTTATAAAAAAATTATTTAAATATATTCATGTTATATTGTTAGTCACCTTAAAAGTACACAATTTGCATTTAACACCTTAAAAATACTTTGCTTGAATTTTTTCCAAATCTTACCTTATATTTTAAATAATAAAATAAAAAATTTAAATATTATAAATTTATTAGTTATTGACTGTGCTTGAAGTCATAGAATAATAAAAAATGATAAACAATAAACATATATGTATTCATATTCAAAATTAAATCACAAACATAGATAGAGAGACAAAAAGAATTTAAGCATCGGTTTGTATTGAGGGTGAGAGGTGGTGGGCGATAGTGGTGTTGGTAGGAGATGAGGATGGTTGTGGTGGGTGACAATGACGTGGTGGTGGTGGGGGGTGGCGGTGGTAG